ACTATATAGTATAGTATAATATAATATAATATAGTTAACTATATCATATAGCTTTATATACAATTGAAATTTATAAATTATTATATTTCAGTTGGATTACCGGATCCTCCAACGAACGTACAGGTAGAACACGGTCCGCAACCAGGTCATCTGCTTATCTCTTGGACACCAATTACTAATCAGCCGAAGCCGCCTTCACGAGCTGCTGTAGCTGCTTATTTGATTTACGCCGACGGCAAAAATATTGCTCAAGTTCCAAGTGATACAGGTACGTCAGAAATGTTTTTTTGTTTTTTTTCCTATTTGTTTTCACTCTAACTCTCTGTCTCTCACTCTCTTTCCCTCTTCACTTGGTACTCTTTTTTTTTTCTTTTTTTTTTGCTTGTTTTTTTACTTTTCCTCATTTCTTGTTTCTTCTTTTAAACCCTTTTTTCCTCCCTCTCTTTCGCTCGTTCATGCTGCATCTGCTACTTGGCCTCCAGCTCAGCTTCATCTACATCATTTCCTTCTACTTCTCCTCATTCGTCGTCTTCTTCCTTACATCATCATTTTTGTCATCTTTCAACGTTCAAATACATATTTTGCATACGTGAACTGACCGCATGACCGACTTGCAACCCACGTGATATACGTGACTTGCATACGTAATTACTGTAATGATGATTTGGCGATCCTTTCAAACTTTTTTTTTCTCCAGAACGGTTGCATTCATTCCATTTTCCATCTGCCACCCCCATCTTTTCATTCGAATTACTTTCTTCTCACACCACTTTCATTATTTATTTTTTGAACTTCGAGCTTGAAAACGCTTGATGCATTCATCTCTTTTCATTGTTAAAAAACTATTTTCTTCATACGAATGTTTCACAATCTCTTTCTCTCTTTCCCCCCCCCCCCCCTCCCTCCCCTTCCTCCATCTTTATATATCCTCATCCTCTCTCTTTCTTGCTCTCTCTCTCGTTTTTGAATTATTTCATAACTTGGAGGCGTTTCTATCTTTTCTTTCTTTCCATTCTCATTTTCTTGCTTGATGCTCAACGCGTCACCATGGTGATGCGAGATGAGTCAAAACTCTTTTTTTTCTACAGCTTCTGATCTCGCTTTGAATATTTTTTTTTTGTTTGTATTTGCATTTCCTGTTCCACTCTTCATCTCTCTTCCTTCCCATTCTGGAGATCTGGATGTCTTACTCAGTTTTCAAGCTCAAATCTCCTCCCCTCTCGTTATCACTTCTCATCCATGTTATCCTACTTCCTTTCCTGTCATTTCAATTTCTTCACTTCATACTATTTAACATTATATTTTATTACAGCTGATCACGTGGTATTACGATTAGCAGATCTATCTGACGATCCACCCATTTTCGTTACTGTTCGAACGAAAACACGAGAAGGAGCTGTAAGCTCTGATTCAAACGTAGCTCGCGTTCCTCGTGGACCAGCCGGTCAGCCAACATCTGTGTACGATCAACCGCCTCAAGCACAGATATTGACGACAACAGTTTTGGATCCAATGGCTTCCAGCTTTCCATCGTATCCTCAACCAACTTATCAAACGGTACGTGTTTTTAATCATTTTTTTTTGTCAAAGAATACGAAAAGTGAATTATGTAGCAATCTGATATCATTTCGTTTCTCCGGATACCTTCTAAGCTGTATCATTCGGCTGTTATCTTCCAAAGAAAGGATAATTTCAAATATTAACAAGCTTACGAGAGGATAAACTTTCACAGAAAAGCTCAGAGAAACAAGAGCTTAACTGCCGACCAAATTTCTTGTAAACTTTCGCGAGCAGTCAGCTCTTTAAAGTTTTCGTTTTCAATTTTCAAAGAGTAGAATGGGGAGAATGGTGTGTATACTGAAAATTTACATATTTTCATGAACTTAACTGTACTGGTTATATCTAACATTGTGTTTTAGGCTTATGCTGCTCCTCTTGGAGGCTTATCAGCTGCAACTTCTGTACCAACAGCAGCTACATATGCCAATCCATCACTGCTCAATCAACTGCCATTTCAATCTAATCCACTTAATAGTTATTCTGCCAATGTTCTTCAGGGATATAATAGTTATGATCGTTGTGCAGCTGCTGCAGCTCAAGGTCTCCAAATGGCCAATAATATCAATAAGGTATGTGTTTCTTGAAATTAAAGAAAAAAATAGAAAAATATTTATTTTTTCTTGCTCTCACTTTGTCTATCGTTCAATTCCTTTGCAGACAACAATTCCACACAACAATATGTCCTCCTTATTGGCTACATCTATACATGGGAATTCACAAATGGGCATAGCACCTGCTTCTAATATTCAAACAGTTCTTGGACCAACAGCTTTATCATCTTTGCCCAATTCTCACCAAGGAACTTTGCAGGCTTCCGTTCCCAAGGTAATTTTTTGTTTTAAAGAGTTGTTTTTTCTATTTTTAGTTCTCTCTTTCTTGATCGGTGTTCTCTGTCTCGTTGCATAGAGCGTTGTTCAGCTCTCATATCTCTCTCTCTCTCTCTCTCTGTCTCTCTCTCAGTCTATCTGTCACAGCTAAAATTCAAATAATTTTTAACTAATAATATTATTTGAGAATTAATTGAGTTCAAATGACATCTGAAAGTTTTATGTCTCCTCATAAAGAACGAATTAAAAAGTTTTGATGATTTTATTGAACTCACCCCCCCCCCTCACCACGTCCAAGCTTCTCTTCATCGAAATAACCAAAAACTCCTTTTTCGTTGTTGTTTTCCTTACCAACATTCTTTCTTTTTTTCGTCGTTTAACTCCATTATTTTTCAGTGGAAGACTTCAGCTAGCCAAATGTCACAGTACTATACATTTCATCCTCGACTACTACGTGCTGACGGAACTACAGAAGAGCCACGTCCATCTGTATTAGAAATGGAGAACAGTTATCTGCTACGGCATCGTCAATCTGAATGGAATTCATCAGATGCTCGCACGCGAATGGATATCTATGCTCGTCAAACGGGAAGAACAGGAAGTGCTGATGATCGCCAGCTTTTACGTCATCGGTAAGAATTGCTTTTTAATCTTTTTTTTTCTCTCTCTTTCTCTCACTCTCATTTATCTGATCATCTTATGTTTGTGCAGATTAATACCTCCTCGGTTGGCGAGAGTTAAAAGCGAAAATGGATTTGGAACAAGAAGTGAGCCTGATCTGCGACCTCCTACACTGGATGACGATTGTCGAATGTAAACATTGCCTTTATGAATTTTTATTTTTTGATGCGTATTTCCAGGTTTGTTGCTCTTTTCGATTACAACCATCATATGTCACCAAATGCTAATGCTGAAAATGAAGAACTCAGCTTTCGAAAACACCAGCTTATTAAAGTTTATGGGGGACCAGATGCTGACGGCTTTTTGTATGGCCAAATAGGCAATCGGTTCGGCCTGGTTCCATCGAATATGGTGATCGAAATAGCTAAAGGTGATATTCTACCTCCTGCAGAACGAGGAAATAGAGTTGAAAGAGGGTCGGAGGTAGTTTAACTTTTATTCATATAATTCTCAATTATCGACTTTCAGATGATACCGGTTGAACCGGCGCTTCGACGGCAGCGATGGGGTTCAGTGAAATCTCGAAGTTACGACCATGCGGGTGATCGAAGAAATTACGATAGGCCCGGTGGCTCCTCTCACTATGCTTCTTTGGGACGTAGGGAACTTGACAGACGTACAGAAGGCCCCACAAGGGATCGATATCGACGATCAAACGGAAGAGACTACGAGTACAGGTATCATTATATCAACATTTCATTCATGAAGCATGTTCAATTCAGACGTGATTACGATGATCGGTATCGTGAACCATCTCGAGATAGACGAGATGAGTACTATAGGGATCGAGACGATGATGATCTTAGGGAAAAATACATTAATAGTCGTTATGATAGAGATTATGATCGCCGTGATGATCGACGTGAGGATCGTGGTCGTCAAGATGATCGAAACCTTCGTGAGGAACGTCGTGGAGGTGAATATGATATGAGACGAATGGATCGTGATTATCGAGACGACGAAAGGCATCGTCGGGATAGACGTGAAGACGGATATCGGGAAGATGCCAGAACCACCTATGATGCACATGGACAGCCCAACCCTCGTTATGATCAGCCACCGATGATGAATCAACCACAAATGGCAAATAATTCAATGAACTCACAATATGCTCAATCTCAAGTTATGGGACATAATTCTGCTCATCAAATGAATCAGTTAAATAACCAAATGAATCATGTAGGCATTTCTTCAGACATTAATATCATTAAAAACGTTCTTCAGATGAACATTTCGAACATGCAGCAGATGAATGGACCTATGGGACATTCTGGGATGAATCAACAGCAATCTCAACCACCTCTCATCCCGAATGGAATGCCTGGAGCTATTATAAATGACATGGAGTAAGTTAATGCCCTCTGCTTCATTTAAACTTCCCCTCCTCATATCTTTGGTGCGATGTCTCAAACTTATTTTTCAGTTTAACAAGTATGCCAAGACGTCAAATGGTTGCTAAGTTTGATTACGATTCTCGACAACTTAGCCCAAATGTGGATGCCGAACAGGTGGAGTTGTCATTCCGACAAGGTGACATCATCACTGTATTCGGTGAAATGGACGATGACGGCTTTTATCGTGGTGAACTAAACGGGTGTTTCGGTCTGGTTCCTTCTAATTTCTTACAGGTATGCATTTTACAGTATTGAATTTCATAATTGAAAGCATTAACCAAGCTTTTGTATACTTTCCACTGCTTTGTAAGCCAAAATTTCCTTTTATAGTCATCACCGTTAACAACGTTGGCGCCTTCACAACCAACAGAGCCAATGATGACCCGTAAAGGCGTGGCGTTTTCGGATGCTGGTATAGCGCAAGCTAATCAAATGATGCAACAACAACCACAAGCTGCTGCTATCAAGAAGCCATTACCTGTACGACAGGTTTGTTGTAACTGGAGAAGCCGTGTGTCCCAGCCATTTAGCTAGATTTAAAGCTTTCATCTTCTAATTCCACTACCCCTTGCATCTTCACGTGATCAACATAGAACTGCTTTCCCGATCACCATCACCTATCCTTCCCGCTTTTGTTTTTTCCGATTTCTTAGCATTTTCAGAACTATATTAAAATTGATCAAAAAATAATTCAAAACATTCGGATAAGAAGTTGAAGCCCTCATTTTCGATTGGAATGACACACTGTTTTTCTTTCTATGCTGTATGGTTTGCTCCTGATCGGCAAAGCAACATTTCTAGTCTTGGAAAGATCTCAGGAGCAAACCATAAGTTGCTTGTTTGCATGTGCTACATCTTCCCAGTGCCATGAATGCTTTTACACACTCATCCAACTATATTTCAGTCATCCCAAACGTCTACAACTTCGGCTGCTACGAACATGAGCAAACCTGTGGCGAAAAAGTCAACAGCTGGACAACCTGGAGCGAAGCCATTAGCGAAAAAGACAAGTGATGTTGGAAAAGGATCGAGTGGAACTCCCAATGTTCGAAAAACATCAACAGCCGTTAAGAAAAGTGATTCACAGAATAAGGTAAGCTGAAAAGCATAAACATATCTTCTAACGATCATCTTTGTTATTTCAGAAGAAATGAATAGCCAGATCAGAATCTGTATGCATCATACACTCCTTCTCATCCTCTCTTTCGTTCTCCATATATGGAGATAACCTCTGACTGTTCGAATGTACAAATGCTCCATCTGACAAACAGTTCAATTATGGAAAAATATGATTTTCTTATGGTTTTCTATTAAGTTTTATCATTTATATGTTATATTATATACTTATTATTATTCGTCTTTATTTGTCATAGAGTTTTATTCTTTCTCATTCAATTTTACTTTCTCTCAGTATATCCTCCTTTGTATTACTTTATATGTAATAGTTATTGATTGATCTATTGATTTCATTGTCATTCCATTTTGAAATACATTCTTCCTTCTCAATAACTTATATTCTCCCTCGTTTCATCTCCCTCTCTCTCTCTCTCTCTCTCTCTTCATCTCTCTGTCTCCTTCTTATTCTCTCACTCTATTTATGTCTTTTCACATATTTCAAATGGTTTTATTTTTAATATTATATATTATAATGTCTTCTGTTCTCGGTGTCAAAGTTATATGTTCCCCGTTAGCATCTTTGCCATATTTGGTATTTCAAATATTATTTATTGAAAAATCTGAAAAAATTTTAAGGTTAATATATTGAATAGAATCGTTTGTTAAATAAAATTTTATTCTCTACAAAACAGATTTTCTTTGTTGATATTTCCGTATCAGGGAGTTGATTATATGGTTCAGATATTGTACCATGATAACCATGGTAGTTCAGGTGTAAATCTCACATCGACTGTCTGTTGTAGAGCGGTGACTGAAGATTAAGAAAGGAATTACATACCTTGGAAGTTAAGATTATCCAACTCTCTTAGAGCCAGTATCATATAAGGATTTGATACATCACATCTTGCGTCAATACCTAAAAAGCTTAATCTGAACGGGTTCTCTCTGAAACCAAAAAGAATATTCGATGAGAGATTTACTTGAAGTATCTTGGAACTTCTTGATTTCATTCTGTTTTCCATAGATCTGATAATACCCTTGTCGTTATTCTCATCATTCTTCTATATAAAGGTTTAAATATGTGCTCTGATATACTGTTTGATTGTGTTGAATTGTTTTTCTTCTTTGCTTTTATGATCGTTCGTCTTCATAATTTGTATGTGTTGATAGTAATGAATTAATTTTGGCTGTTTTCAGTTGAGCATGTCTTCTTCACGCTATCTTAAGATGCCCACTGAGGAGATTAACCATGGGGTGGTAAGGTTGGGTAATCCTTACTACCTTCATGTGGAAAAGAAGGGCAAGTTTGCTAAGGCTGTCACCACCAATGTGACTTCCGTCCCAGAGGGAGTTAGGCCAGTGGATTTGTGTGGCCAGCCACAAGTTCCAGATGTTCTGTTAACAGACATCGATCAATTCATCGTCTGGTGCAGAGACGAAGGTCTTCTACCTCTTGGGAGTAACAGAGGTCCTTCGGTGCGGTTGATGGCTAAGAAGCTGGACAAGTTGATATTTGGTGGCCAACGAGTTGAAAAAGTTGAAGTTTAAGGTCGTTAGCGTTCTGTTTGGCTTTCGTATGTAGCGGAATCAAACCTAAACAGACATGGTTTCTATGAAGAACAACTATTCTAAGAGTAGAAGGTTTATTATAGTAAACGAATGTTAAGCACTGAGTTCATAAGATATATAACTAGATATCAAAAGGGAGACCATACATGATATACACTGGTATAATAATTATGTACAAGAGATTAGCATAGAAGACGGGATAGTAATATCTTCTATGGGATCTTAGATTTGGTAACTCTGGAAGTAGTCGTTTAAGAATATCCTACCAGGGTTACGGTCACTAGAGAATCAACCATTCAATAGCATAAGGGCCTTATATAGGGTTACTCTGTATGTCTGTCTACTCTAGTAGTCTGACCTCATTACTGTCTACATGTCTCTTATTCCGAATGGAACGGTTGCTTTATTGTTCTAAAATTAAAATTCTTTTACTCTTGTTTTTTCAATTGCTAGAGCACGCACAGTATTACGCCAGTTAGAAGTAATAATCTTACTAAAAAAAATCTTACAAAAGTGGAACTTGAAAAAGATTATTCATGTCTGATACCAACGTTTTGATCACTTGAGCACTTGGTTTCAAGGTAGATCCATTAATAAAGGCAGAAGAGCAAGCAAATGTATGAGATGTTGAAAAGATTGAAGTTCAGTTGAAGT